ATTAGAAGAGGCAAAAAATGAAGTTTTAAAAATCCAAATGTCCTACAGTTAGTACTGTAGTCAGCACATTCACACTGCGGAAAGCTGATTAAATATAGTCAAATGACAAGAGCAATGTTATTGTGCCTTAAACTACAATTAAAGAGCATACCTTAGCTAACAATAAGTGAATATTTCCATATGATCCTAAGAAAGCTATAAATCTTCCATCAGGTGACACAACAAATCTCTTCATATTTACTTCTTCTAATCCTAAATGAAAAACAAACTATGTTAACCATTATGTATTATCTGTTTCCTCAAACCAATAGACTGTCACATAGGAAATACCAATTAAATATCATAAACATTTGTAGATATACCTATGACATGAAAGTATCACTTCATAAATTTTGTGTGTTCCAAGTACTTTTCTAGATTTATCTTCATCAGTAATGATCAAACAATTTGAAAAGCAAAAGATTTACAGTATTGATTCCTGAACATTTGAGGAACTGTATGACCAAAACGGACCTAAAAGGAATACTCAAATTCATCTAAGGTCACCTTGACCTGAGGCAGTAAAACCTTTCTTCAATATATCTTTATTATATCAACAGAGAATAATAGAAAAGTTTGTTATTAATCATGCCAGTACTGAAGCACTGACTGCTGAGCTAATGATATGTGTATGAACTACCAGTGAAATCCCCTGGTTTGATTTGGGTTAACATAGGGTAATTGTAGTATTGGGGTATTTTTGATTTAATATTGATTTCATTTAACAGTTTTATAGTAAGATTAAATGTTAACAGATAAGGAGAATTGGAAATTTGTTTAAGGATGTACACCTCTGAAGAGCAAAAAATTTCTAGAATTAAACTTTTTTTCTTAACCTGATTGTTGGGTTTATATGACTGCAAGAAAGTTATTGATGAAGAAAAAATCATATAGTGGCGCACTCCTTTTTTTGCTACGGCCATTTGAAAGTAACCCATTTTTAATGATTTTCCCATTTTTCATCAATTTTTACCCATTTTTAGGCTATAATCATGAAAAAATCACAGTTTCACAATTAAACTTTTTTTCATACATTCACTAAAGATGATGTGGACTTATTTGAATAAAGTTAACTTAAAAAAAACTATAGAGTTGGTGTTAATATTAGAAGGTTTTTTAAAATATTGTTGCTTTCTCATGTCAAATTGACCATGCTGTCGATTCTGTAAATTTGGGATTTTCTTTCTATTTTTAGAACAAAAAGCATATTATTCCAACTTCCTTGTTATAAATGATTGAACAAATTGATATGGGATGTACATATTTTTGGTAAAAATACTAAAATGATTTCTTTGTACCCCTCACATATTTTCTCAACATTTTTGCTAATGACACTGACCGTATTGGTTACCAAAAACTACTTATTGCAAGTACACAATTTTTTCACAAGAGTTTAGTTTGATCATAATATTTTTAAATTCATTGATATTGTCCACTTATATCACGTTAAGGAAATAATTCCCGAAAGGAGATTTCAACAAGACTGAAACATCAGAAGAATACATCCTTGAAGATAAGCAATCATAACAATTTGAACAATGCTTTCAATTCCGAAAAATTTGGAACTTCACTTCTACTGATCTATTATTATGCTTTCTAAGTATATATATATTTCTTTCTTAAAACTGTTTCAAGTTGAGCAATTACAACATTTTGGAAAAATTAGATTCTGATAAATTGAAAAAATCTAATTCATTTCAACTAATCATTTAATACAACGAACTTTCTTACCTTTAACAGGAGGTACACTTATCATCTTCCCAACCATCATGTCATAATAATGAAAACCTTTATGTTTTGACCCCATGATGACCTCTTCTCCGTTAGCACTAAAATGAGCTGAGTATATTGGATAATTTTCTAGGAATATACTCTGTATCTTTGGGTTATTTTTACAATCAACCTGTAAAATTATAAGGAGTTATTAACATAAAAATTTCAGTGATACTCATGTTTCAGCAATTTTTCACTGATACCCCAAAACAATGTAGGCATTTAAATACTTGCAAGTCTATTTTCCACATGTAATTTCTCATACATATCTATCACTCATTTTTCAACCTTTTGAGATAAACGTCATAGAAATCCGTAAACCAAACTAATTTTGAAAACACTTACTAAACAAATTCCATTTAAATTTTCTTTCTTTTGAGGGACATACCTCTAAAAGTAATTAGTGGTGGACACTCATCAGATAGGCATACAGACCTTATTGTGTAATCAATTTGAATTTGATATAAGATAAAATGGGAATCACTGCAACTGCATACTGCAAAGAAAAAATATTCAATTTAGTTGAATTTTCTTTTTTATCTTTTATTGTTTTTGAAAACCTGTCAAAAGTTAATGCGTTTGTGCTATTTAAAGTTTCTATCTATCTATTTACAGTTTTCAAGATATAAGGCAAACATGAAAAAATGGGGAAAATCTTCATTAAAGGGCAACAACTCCTCTATAAGAAACCATCAGACACTTTTAACTTAAAAGGACCATAGGTAGAGCTCAACATTCTGAACATTTTTGCTCTTGCCATATTTCCTATATTTATGGTGGTTTACTGTTGGAAAAAATCTATTGAGAGCATGTGTTTTCTAATTCATTGTTTGTACAAATCTGACTTTAAATAAAATTTATGTTATCTTATCATATGTCTTCAACAGCAATATGTAGCACTGAATAAAATGTCTACCTCATAGAAATGTGTAAAATACTTTATAATTTGTGTGAGAACATTGACGTATAGCCTTTAAATTTGGTTGAAAAACTAGAGGCTCTAAAGAGGCAGTGTAGCTCACCTGCATCTTCAACAATGGCCACTTTTTGGTAAAATTCATCATTAAAGGGGAATAACTCTATTAAGAGTTAACTGACAATTTCAGTCATACAATTGTAGATATTATCCTGCTGATAATTTTTCCTTTAAAAAAAAATATCATTTAAGGGCAAGAACTTCAATAACAAATTGACTGAAGATTCTGCAAGTTTCATTTTTAGATTTTGTCTTGCTGATAATATATCACGTTTCAAAATATTAAGCAAAAATGGGCAAAAATGGAAAAAATCGTCGTTGAAGGGCAATCACTTCAATAAGGAGTCGACTAACCATTTTGGTCATTTTGACTTATTTGTAGATCTTGTCCTTTTGATCTTTTATTGCTGTTTTAAGTTTCTATCTATCTATTATAGTTTTTAAGATATTAGCCAGAATGAAAAAAAAATGGTAAAAATTGTCATTAAAGTGCAAAACTGTAATAAAGGCGTCGACTGAAGATTTCAACTCTGTTGACTTATTTGTAGATACTGTCTTGCTGTTCATTTTTAGCATTTAAGTATTCTATCAATGTATTATAGTTTTTAAGATATTATGCAACAACACCAAATAATAATACCCAATTGGACCTCAATAGACAAACTTGTGTATAATCTACTGTAAAAAAATCAATTACCAGGTAACCTTATACGTTATCATGGGATTTATGTTTTAAAGTAGCATAGGATATTTCCACAATAAGATGGTTTTCCAGTGAAAAAACAATTTGGTTTTGATTCTTATATCTACAAAATATTAACAAATTGAAAAAGAAATAAGGTAAAGGTTTGAAAAATTACATTTTTTTTCCTTAATTTTCAATAAATTGGAAGGATTTTTTTTTATGTTTAATGATTGTTAAATCTTCTCTAAAATGAATGTAGTTTTTGTTAATTCTGATTTAAAATGAAAGTAGTGGTTGTTAAATCTTTTTTGAAATAAAAATACAACAATATTACCTTACTTAATTAATCCATAAATCTGCTAGAACATTCCCCTTTCCTACCTTTGAACATTAACCCATTTATTTTATTTTTAATTACTGGGATAACACAAATAGAACCTAAATGAGCATCTTTGCATCCCCCAGTTACATATATCAATACAATTAAAGAGAGGCGAAAGATACCAAGGAGACCCATAAGTCGAAAATAAACTGACAACTCCATGGCAAAAAAAAAGAAAAAGACCAAAAAACAAACAACAGTAAACAAAACACAAGATAGAAAACTAACGACTGAGCAAGAAGAACCCCACCAAACTGGGGGTTATCTCAGGTGCTCCAGAAGGGTCAGTAGATCCTACTCCACATGTGGCACCCGTCATGTTGATCATGTAAGTCTAATTTCAGTAAGTCACATTCGGTGAAAAGGAGGACAGGATTGTGGTAAAGACGATTGGAACAGATATTACATAACGGTCAACCAACTCGTGATGGCGTCCTTAAAATGTTCGAAGGGATGATTTTAACACCGCTTAGAACTCTTGGTTTGAAAGCTTCCTTGTGAGCAGTACCCTCTATCAAGGAAACAATGATAGGAAATGCAAGCCCTGGAATATCGTATTAACTGGGAAATATATACTCCATATGCAGTATATATCGATCTTGGTTTCAATAAAGTTGTATAACACCCACTAATTAACAAACTTAAATTATGAAGCTCATCTGCCCCTTGTCCCGACATAATTAATATGGGACATTTTTCCAATTTATTATTTCTGATTGAAGAACTTATTTGACATTTTAATTTTTATTCTAAAAATTACTTATAAACAAGTTAGTATTATATAAAATTGAGAATGGAAATGGGAAATGTGTCAAAGAGACAACAACCCGACCATAGAACAGACAACAGCAGAAGGTCACCAACAGGTCTTCAATGCAGCGAGAAATTCCCGCACCCGGAGGCGTCCTTCAGCTGGCCCCTAAACAAATATATATACTAGTTCAGTGATAATGAACGCCATACTAAACTCCAAGTATTATGGCTATTTATATATCAATACTATTACTACAGCTAAATTGAGTAGAGCTTAAACTTTCTATTATTATGTTTACAGAAGAATGGATAGAGAGGACAAGAGACGGTACTTAATTGTTGGCTCTGTCATACTGGAAATTGTTTCTCCACTACTGAGAAAGAGAATAGAAGACGGCTACAAAAGTAAAGGATTTGCATGTTTGCAGAATTTTATCCACAGTCTTCTTGTCAAACACACCCTATTTCATTTGCGTCACAAAAATAGCCAGTGCTGTGTTGATGAAGCCCATTGTTTTAACCTTGGTCCACTTTCACTTAATTACAGCCAGTGGAAACGGTTGTATGCAGAAGATCATGGACGAAGGGGTCATCACTGTCATTGCAAGTATACAGCCAATCCTATTTCTTTGGATGACCTTGACATAACCTTGGCAAGTCTTATTTTGCTGAACTGCTTCAGTCTTACACCAAACGAATATACCATGATTTCTGACCTCAGAGAATTCAAGAACAACTATCTCAGCCACAACACTGATGGCAGCATATCTGAAACAGAATACAACACACTCTGGAAAGATCTAAAAACGTATGTTCAGCAACTGGACCCAAGTAAAACAGACGACCTTGTGATAATTCAAAACAGACCACTGGATGAGTCTCTGTGAAAAATATGTCACATGTCTTCTAGATGTTCATGTCATACTTCAGGAGGTTTGTAGTTTAAGTCAGGATATAAATATGGTTTCATCAAAGAAATACTTTCGTATATAGAAAGTAACTAAGCTTCCTTACAGATAATTAACTCACATATTAAGTCAATTAAATATGTGGATGAATCGATCATGACTTGCAAACACAACAATGATGGGCATATTGTAAAAAAAAAACTTTAGTCACTGGCTATTAATATAGGCTGATCAGCATGATAGAAATGTACTATAGCTTTCAATAATTACCTTTCTGGAACACATTATTTGTTTATTAACTAGTTGTGTGGCTTTTGAGAAGGAAATACAACTTATGAAAGGATGACACAAGACCACAATGGCATTTATTAAAATAAATTAAAAAGTAAACGAAGACATACGATGTATTGTGTGAAATTAAAATTTAAAGCTTTTTCGTTTCTCACTTCAGATTGATACAAAAGTAGATGCAACATCTGCAGAAATAAGGACAGCTATGGACAATAGTAATGCTGAAGTGACGAAAACTATTGGCACAAAAACTGCTGATGTACTGGCTACTATGGCTATAAACAGTGCTGTGTTGGTGGCTAAAATAGAGGTATGTTTCTGTTTTAATAAAGATCCTATGTTGTTGACTGGTGTAGATAGTTCTTCTACAGAGGTGCCTTTGACTCCACACTCAATTGACTAGAATTGCTAGTTTTCCTACCAAAAGTTGTAGTTCTCTTCTGGCACTTCTGCTTAATCCAATAAGAAATGAGGGCCGTGATATGGGATATTATGCTTAAAGTCTGCTTAATAACAAACAACCAAATCGTATCAAATATGTTTTAATGGACCAACTTCGAGTTTCTTTTTACAATGAGTTACATCAGTTGAACCAGGGTCAATGGGTGTAAATGACTTCAAGAACAATCCACTCTTACTGTGACGTATGTAATAACATATGCATTGTGACATTGGAAATGTACAGGAAAATGCATAAATGTGAAAGTCATCTATAATTAACAAACAACATATCAAGACTAAACAAGGCCATATGTCTAGTTGTGTAATAGAAATTTTGATCTGAATAATATTCTATCAATGTCACACTAAATACATTAAACGAAAACAGAACAACAACTGCGATCTTATAACAGAATATATATATCATTCCAACAATAAACAAATTCATAAACTTGATATGTCAATAAAGTTGATGTGAGGTGACTTAATTAGTTCACTTCACAATGATTTTATAACCAAATAAGTTTGCTCTATTTGAGTGAAATGAACTCTGCAAATCATTCCATACATCAAATAGTGATGACCTTTTGCGTATAGGATCAGAGAGAATATTTAACCTTAACATATGAACCATACAATGTATTCAATATCTCTCAAGGCACTTAAACATATACCATATCAGTATATGACAGAGACAGCATTCTATCTTGAGAATGTTTGCATCAGACTGTGCTGACTATAGATGAAAACATTACTTTCAAAATCACCTGAGAGATATGTGACATATGTATTTGTTGCATGAATAGACCAACAAACGCACTAACAGACACACGGTTGAACAAGGTGGATGCAATATGGCTCCAAGAGTTGGGGTATAAAAAATATAAAATATATTTTTTTCTATTTTAAGGAGATGTCACAGAATAACATCTGTCAGAGATGTAAAAGAAGCATAACTGAACAAGGTAGGGGAGACAATAATTACAATTTGTTTTCCCACTCTAAAGTATTATACATATATAGACCTAAATGTTGAGTACTCATAAAACAGAAATCTTATGAAATAAATATGTACAGTTTAAAGGTCAATAAAATCAAGTGGTACTATAAATTTGATTGATTGATTGGTGCTTGCTTAAGGTAGCTGGGGTGACTTACTCCATATCGGATTTTAAACTGGAATCACTGTTCACATTAAGTTTGATATCTTGCTTTTTTTATTTATATATCTGAAAGTATATTATAAGAGCTATCTTCTCATATTTTATCTTAAAATTATATGGTGTAGGTTTCTTTTATCACACAAAATTGGGTTTCCCATGCATAATCTTTACAATTTTGCACAATGTGTAGCGTGAAAAAAACCGGTGACCAATACGTTTTATAATATTTTTGAAAAAAGCATAATATAAACTACATTTTGACATATTATTAAAAAATTATATGGATTTTAATTCAGACCCCCTGTCTACCTCACTGAATAGTGGCAATTGTAACTTTGAATTTCATTCAGCTGATATACTATTATCAAAGTCATAATGAACAAACAAACTTAGACAAATAAAACAAAATGTATCCAAGGTACACAGTATCACCAAAGTATACATTGTAGGCAAAAGTACTCGGCTACAGATATTTTCGAAGTTCAGACTTTAACTTAGTTTCGTGCAGCTATAGCATGAAATAAAATATAAAAGCACTATTCTCTATAAGTTGCTACAGATAACATTGCAATTCCATTTTTATCACTCAAGAAGCCATCCGTTGAGATAGTTTTACATTTTCAAGGGTCAGCTACGTTTCTTCCACATAACTCTTGAATATGTATTATAAAATCAGTCAACTTTGACCTAACTTGTGTTCAGTAAACCCTAAAACATCATCATATTTCAAATAATTAAGACATGGTTAATCAAGTTTCATGAAGAAACCAAAAATAAGCTATTTCCTATTAACCAAGGGACATAAAAGGACAAAACTGAAATACTGTAGGTTAAACTCATTCTTAATCTGTAAAAAGTGGTTCCATAAACATGTTCTAACTACCAAATACTTTAGTTGATGCCTCCTGAGTTATTGCCTTGAAACTAGGGATGTTTTGAGTACTCTAGTACTAGAGTTTTGCTCGGTATATATCAGTATTTAACACCAAAATGATAATCAACTTATTTGTTTCTTATAAGGACGAAGTCTCCTTATTTTTATGAAAATACATCAGTGACTTCTAATCATTTATCGTATGTGAATGTGTTTTATTTACAATTTCAAAATGTACTTGTTGTTTAATCTATTTGGACTGTGTTACCTTTTATATTGTAGAGGGTTTAACATCAACAAAATGTCAAGAATGAAAAATTGGGTTAAAATTTTGTAGATATTTGTCCTAGCAGGGGACTCAAATATTACTCAATAACAACAACATATACTCTATTAGTGATTGTTCACCAAATTGACATCTCTAAGTAGAACCGAAAGATTTTCAATTTCTCATTTTATTAAAGAACTTAACTCTGAAAAAACAAAGGTAAAATAAGTTAAATTCAAATTGCAAGAGCAGTCTCTAATCACTTTCATTTTTTTCTTTAAATCATATGATGGAAGTCCACTTGATATTTACAGGGGCATAAAAACATAGGGTAATATATTGGCCCTTATGCTATATGAAATATAAAGTTTAGTAATTATCACTTATTTTTGATAATGTATACATATCTTGCAAATTCGAAGTCAATTAGTTATGACATATAAATTCAATCAAAAATGTTGCCACTGATGTCCATTTGTTCACTTAAATTATGAATATTATAATTTTGACAGTTTAACTAAATATAAGTTTAGTTTTTGCTCCAGTTAGTATTCGCCAAAAGATATAAACTAACAAAATGGTCATACCATTGACGCCGCCTTCTAAAACAAATAGTGACCAGGAAAAAAGTATGTTTTATTTCAAATTGTAATATTTGGTGTTTAGATAGAATATGCCCTGGTTCAAATTTAGTGGGAAATTACTTTCATTCCCTTATCCCTTTTTGAAACATTTATGTGCTATACAAAACAAACATTTAAACTACATTTATAGTTTCTAGTTTACCATTTATCATTTTAAGATTTCTTATCTTCTTGTGATACATAATTAGATTATACATATTTGTTTATTACTCACCGTCACTGTAAGGAAATAAAGCAAGATATCAAACTTAATGTGAACAGTGATTTGTATGAAAATGTCAATTCATTTTTCAGACAAAGAGGGAGGACCTTCACAGCCATACACTCTAGGACAGTCCTTATTCACACTACATCATCAGATAGACCTGCCATCAGCAGTTGGTGCTCACTTGAGTGGAGGAGTAATAGATATAGTGATGATGGATGATGGTAGACTGGTGATGTGTTTATTAGTGCATGAGACTACTGATCTGTAATACAGATGGATCACGGCTAGACGGAATACCTGTACAGGGTCTACCATCGTGTGTTACAGCAGTCAACAACTCCACAGTAGCTGTTACACTGGCTTTGCAGATGTATGACATAAACAATAAAATAAAACTAAAATCAATATCAGTACCTGGAATGATGTGGGGGACGTGGAGTGGAATTGCAACTATAAACAACAAGTTAGTTGTAGGTGGTGACAACAGACTACTGATCATAGATCATCAGACAGGAGAGTTGGTACAGACAATACAGACTGACAGTCAACCTGGCAGTTTACAGGGTTCTCGTGACAGAATATTCTACTGTGAATACAACGACAACAACAACCTGTACTTGTACAGTTTTAATGAAGACAGACATTACACTCTAACATTACCATCATATCCCTGGAGTATGACTACACTACAAGATGGCAGTCTGTATGTTATGTGTGGTGATGGAACAATACAACATGTATCATCTGATGGTAAACAGTATAAAACTGTTACAACAAAGATACTTAAAGAATTGAAATATCCTTGGATATCATATAATGGAAGGCAAAGCCAACTAGTCACAATGTCTAATCTGGTTGGAAAATTCAATTTTCTCTCTGAGAAATAGTACAGTTTTCTGTTCACATTTATCTGTTTTATTATAATATTATAATTCAGAACAACAGAATATTTTACTCAGCTTAATCATTTAACCTGAGATCCTTTGATTTAATGTCATATATTCTTGTAGTGCAATTCCTACCATTGTCTCACTGGCAATCATACCACATGAACATTGTCTTATTTTTAAACTAATTTGCAATTTTTAAATTTTTCAAAATATGACGGATCAATATTACTTTTTTTTTTAAAGATGTGTTGTGATGAAGAAAAAATATATATAATATAATAAGTCCAACTTAAAGGATATGTCTGACCCAGGGCCAAGTTACCATAGGTTATGTATATATTGACAATGTTTTCATAATTAAGAGATCATGTTTGTTTGGTTTCTTAAAAGAGGTATAATACATGTATTGCAATGACGAAAAATCCAACTTAAAGAATGTCTGGGCCAAGTTACCACATACTATGTATATTTTGGGACCTATATGTTGACCCTTAGATTTATAATTAAGAGCACATTTAAGTATAGTTTCTTATTAGAGATATAATTTTTAATTTTCAATGGAGTTTATCATTATCAATGTAAGCAAGTTCTGTATTCAAAATTGGCAAATATATGTTTAAATAAATAGTAAATAAAAAATACATTTCCTTTTTTTAAAGTAATGAAAAAATACTTTTGCTGATATCTTTCCTCTGCTGAAACTTAAACGCTATAGGGACTAGGGGTAATTTTTTTAATGAACGTAATACTAATTTCACTAAACATCCAAAAAAACTGATTTAAATTCGAATAAACACTTTTTATGAATACAAGACTTACTTTCAATGTTGGACTTCTAATATCTTTAATCGCAGTATGTTTGCAAATTATAATGAACTTTTAGTTCTTCTTTTTTTTTTCATCACAAGGATTCTTGATATTGAAATTCATGTTAATGTTTATTTAGTAACAATTTCCTGTTTCAATTTAATATTATAATTCACCATTGAGTTGATTTATACGTCTTTGTAGTTTTCAATTTCATTTAAATGCATAAAGTAAGTAAATGCTATGAAATATATGTAACATTGGATATCAAAATTACCACTGCTTTAAACATTGTTTAAGCTGCTTGCAATGTTATTGTATAAAGATAGATTTATTATTTAGAGTTGAATGATTTTTTTCCTTTTCAAGATCTTAACAGAACTTATTTTAGATATTACTAGAACCTAGCGAAAGCCGTTTGATTTTGTTTTGATCATTTTTGTCTTCCCCTGTCTGCGATTGTTTTTAAATCCCCTGCAACATATGGAAAAGATTTTTGGCATATGATAATATAGAGTCATGTGACAGTGATCTCTTACACAATTACCCTACAGAATTGAATACTGTCCATATAGGAGTTATCTCCCCATAACTGTTGTTTTTCTTATTATCACTACTCGTATGAAACTGTAAAAGATATCAATTTACTTATATTTTTTTTACAAATAGTTTAGTATGTCCTTAGGATGTTTTCATCATCTTTGATAAAAGCGATCCTTTGTCATAGGTTTTTCCATGATTTACATTTTACATAAATGTTATGACTGTAACTCATCAACTGAAAGTAAAAGATACCTAGAGTTTATTGATATGAAAATTCTTGGAAAGTGTAACAGTGAGCATAAAAGTTTTTTGTATTTGAAATTCGTGGTTCTGACATGTCGTAACTTCAATGCATTTGGGTCACAATTAAAAACTGTTATATTGTTTTTTTTATTTTAACCCCGAATCCATACATCTCTCTTGATTTGGGATCCATGATCTAAGAACTTGAATTTAATGTCAATGTTCAATTTGAAGTTCTAAATTTGTACCTTTGTTTGTTATCTCTTTTCTATCGAAACTGTTTATTAAAAAGATAAGACATAAAAAGAAATGGACCTACATGTTTGTGACATTATAGCAAAGATATGATACATTCCATTCATACCTACACAATGACGTTTAAAAGGTGAGAAAGCTGTTAGGTTTGGGACATATGATTTTGAAAAATGTCGACTTGAAGCAATCAGTTTTGATCTTACTTCATGAAAAAGTAACTTGAAATCGAACATAATTTTGGAAATATCAGTGTGAAGTAACCAATCATATGACAATGAAATCATCATATAACAGGAAATAGCAAACTATCTATGTTATGACTCCCAAAATTACATTGAAAACAATATGTTTTTGGAATCAGTGTAATTTAAGTTTAGATCCCCAAACTTGATTAAATTTAGTTATTATTTGATGCTGAAAGGGACTTTGAATAAATAAAACTTCTCGTTATCTCGGCTGTATTTCATAGTAAGAATACCACAACCTACATTTGGAATCAGTGAAAGACTTTTTTCTGGAAATTAATTTTAGACCAGAACGTAATATTTTTCATCCTCACTTTCGTATGACAAGATGTAAATTCAATGCGGAAAGACTGTCTATTGTTCTCTAAACTTTTGGTTCTTAATTGAATAATAATACTTTCACATATTTTAACAATCATGTAACTTTCCGGTATAAGACTCAAGCGTTCTTAAGTTATGTTACACTATTTTAAATTTACTAAAACCAGACAGTTAAAGTCCTGTAACTCTGAAATGACGAACTAGAACATTTTCAAAATCGTAACGGAGGTTTCTGTTATCAATCACTATCATACTATTAAGTTTTGTGGATATAAATCCAAGCAAACTACAGTTAGTGCCTGGTATCTGAAAATTGCATTAGACCTGAAAATAAAGTCACGTTACTAAGGAACAACATTATAAAAAAAAGTAACGAATGGTATATTTCTTCCATCAACCCTTGGCATGTTGTGTTTCATGGGAATGGAAACAAGTTTAAGTTATTATAACAAAAGTGAGGACGGACAATGGTATTTCATAACATATTTTGTCTATGACAGCTGTATATAAATAAAGAAATGTTGATTTGATACAGGTATCCAACAGAGTCAAAAAGGTGTCAATATAAGCATTACTGCCTTCAACAATTCTACCTTGATTCACATTTCTTGTTTGTGTGAATAAACCTACTTGAAACAGATTAATAGTCTGATTCATACCAGCTACCAGCATTACTTGTGCAGTTGGATGAAACTCGGCAAAATTTAGTTTACACTGGAAAATAAAATTCATTAAATAATTTACAAAGCTTTACGCTTTCTGACCTTCCTAATAATATAATATAATCAATCCATCTCAACTAATTCATAAGGGTAAATAAAGGTACATATAGGTAGTATACCGCTGTTCAAAAGTCATAAATCGATTCAGCGAAAACAAATCCGGGTTACAAACTAAAACCGAGGGAAACCCATCAACTATAAGAGGAAAACAACAGAACAACAGAAACACTGGACTGCAACGAAAACAAACGCCAACATACAAAGAAATGGACTATTTGACTTGATACAGAACATTCTAAGAAAAAATAATGGGTTGAACCTGGTTTTATGACCATGTTTAAAATATCGCTAAAATGACAACATTACGTGACAGGAAAACAATACAAATAAACGCAAGAACACTCAGGACAAAGAAATACATAAATAAATAACATAATAGTACATTACAACATGTAAACCACAGAATAACAACAGACACTAATATGAAATTTGAATTGACTTTGTTATGGTATTATTTTATGTATTTTTTAACCATGACAAGAATATTAAAATGGAATAGTGTTTGTAAGTGTGTAGTTATTTGTATTTCATCCGTCAGTTTTTCTTCTAAATCAAAACTGTGTATAAACAAAAAAATCCTGTGCATATAGTTGCTACAAACTGAAAATCATATAAATGAGATAGCTGATTAATTATCTTAACTTTTACATACATATAGAAAATCACAATTGAATTCAAACTACAAACGATAAGACATACCACAATATCTAACAAGACTTACAAAAAAGCATCATAACTAACTATATGAATGTTGGATGGCTTAATACAGAGACACGTCGTATATCAATGCGAAATCAACCTCGGCAAAAAAGTCATATTTGGGAATAGGTCACGTTCGGTACTAAGCAGACCAGACGACGTAGATGGTAAACCACAATCTTTGACGTGGTAAAATTGTCGTTAGTTGGTTAAGACACAGACACTTCGTATAGATCAACCAATTCGTGATGGTTTCCATAAAATTTACGGAGTGTCATTTTTAATCTTTCCTCCTCATAACTCTGTTGGATCAGTTTCTGCGTAAGGAGCACACTCCTGTATATGAAGTCCGTATAGTATAAACATGCACGAGCATAACGTATCAACTGGGATATGTAATAATATGTGATGTATTATTGGAGGATTGAAATTGACTACTTTCAAATGTCATTCATATGATATTTTTAATTAGATGATTTGTCATAAATGTATTATTATGAGACTATGCTAATATAAACAAAAAGAATTATAAGTATAGCAAAATCCTGCAAAAAAAGTGCATTTATACGTACATCATTCAA